TTTATCTGAGCAAATTCTCTCTAACAAGTTCTGATCTAGTTTACAAATAAGCATCCCCTCCCCTTACTGGTAATTCAGGGGTCTGAGAAAGTAGTAGAATTTATTCAAATCTGCTCAGCCTTTTTGGTTCCCCCTGCATAGTCTTTTCTGCTTGCAACATTTTATGGTCTTTTAGAAAGGTGAAATATTTCAGATGATGGCAGTGCAAGGAGAAAAGGTTGGCTGTTTGAAAAGAAAATTCTGAATCTTTGTACATTAATAGCAATGTCCAAAATCATTTCCCTTTTGCTTCTGTCGCTGTTTTTTTTATTTTCAGCTGGCAGTGATACCATAGTATCATCATGGCATCTTTTTCCATAAAGCCTTTGCTAAATGTTCCATGTTCTTTGGCTAAACAGTTGTGTAAACTTACACTGCATAAGACTGATAATGTCATCACCTGTGGTCGTTTTTCAAGAATTAAACATTTCTGCTCCTCTCCATCCCCGGAAAGCTGTGGAGCTGGTTTGGATCCCTTTCATCCTGAGGAAGCTGTTGGGCAGTAATTTTTCAAAAATTGAGGACCCTCTGACTCCTACAGACCCAACAGCTAGCTCAGGAAGAAGGAGGTCCCAAAGTAGCATTGGAACTTCCAGGGGTGGGGAGCAGAAAATTTTAATTCTCCTAAAATAACCGTGACTGATGACATCATCCGCCTAATACGGCATAAAGTTCTGCAGCAAGATTTCAACCATTGTGATATAACTGTGGACAATATTCTTTACAAATTTCATATGTCTTAACTTGCATCCCATTTAGTTTCAATACTATAAGTGAGACAGTTTGAAACATTGTTATTGTTCAGTTTAACCTGTTTTAATGTCATATTATGTCGTTAGGTCAATGGAATATCTACTAAGTCCATCATGTTTCCAAATGTTTTCTTAAATCCTTTCCATTTTGTACATTTTTCTCTCACACACTATTCAATTAGTAAAAATTTCTTACAAAATTTTACTGTGCTCTGCATGTGTTGAGACTTTTTCTCTTTGTCTTTCATTGTGCAACTTTGGATATTGTCTAACTTTAGAGAGGTGTTCAAAATCACATATCTACCTTCCCTTTCAAAGCTAGACATATGAGCAGACTTATTTGAAACAGAGCTAGGCAGGATACTTGTAGGAAATGCCAGATGGTTCCAGGACAATCAAGTGGGCTGAAAGAGAAGCCAAAGTTGTTTGCAAATTAAAGCTTTGGTTGTCATGATTTCAGTCCCCCACCTGTTGCTGTTTGTGAATGATATGTATTTTGGTAAGTTGGCTCTGAGTTGATAGAATAAATAAGATGTGGGGGAGGAAAGCCACCTTGTATTTCTTCTATTGTTTTTTCCCATGGGCACCTTTTTTGGGTTTTGTGGGTTTTTTTACACAGCAATCCTTTTCTTACACAAAAGTGTAAGGCTCTTTTTCATTCTTCTATTTCAGTCTTCCCCATTCATGTTCCCTGGTGCTACTTCAAATTAAACCGTACAGGTTCCTTAAAAACTATTTAAAAAACAAACAAGCACATATATAGGTAAAGCAACATAGCATCATTCCACTCCAAAAAGTAGGCAACAGTACATGAAAATGAAAAGAATAATCAGATCTATGCAAAAAAGAAAGCCTTACTCACTCACCAGCAACAGTAAACCAACCCAAAAATTAGAAAAGAGAAAATAAGTGGAAGGAGTCTAGTGCCATCTGACCCAACAGAACAGAAACCCTCTGGACTTGGGCAGCACAGTCAAAAAAAGGTAATAAAAGCAGCAAATTGGCCAGGCATTTGCTGGCTGCTTAGCACACACAAAGCAAGCAAAAACAACGGCACGAAACAATCCTGTTGCCCAAAACCCACCAACATATACACCTTTAACAGAATAAATGCAAAGTAAATTAACAAAATAACAGTGTTAAAAAGCTCATTTAAATGGGGGAAAGCACCACACCCACCCATCTCACATACAAGGAAAAATAACAAAATAAAAACATGAACACAGTTACCTTTTCCAAAAACTACGAAAAGTAAGCAAGAAACTAACCGCTGACTGTAGTTTGTGGAGAACATATGCTTGAATCATTTAATTTATCCTTTTTTGTATTTTGATAAAAACAAGAGTAAAAGTGTTTGCAGTGCAGATCTCTCTCTCTGATGTCAGTTCAGAGTGAGGGCAGTCCCCCTTGCCCTTGGTTTGTGGTGGCAAATTCATCGTAGTGCTACGTCTGATTGTGTGTTTTCATGGCACCATTACATTCATTATATGGTTCCTGACTGACTTAGATCAAAATCCCAAGAAAAAGAGTTAAGAGGGGACAAATGAAATAATTGCATATAGTCTCCCTGTTACACCTAGCTCCATTTCTCCCCATACCTTTCTTGTTGTCCTTCTGTTGTGTTGAATTTTAGGCTGCAGTTTCTGTATCTACTTATCTATGAATTAGTTCTGTTGAATTACAGTAGGAACATTGTACTATCAAACTGTAAGTCTTATATTCAGTAGAACCATGCATGCTGATGCTGCCATATTATTAAAGTAAAAAATACTTTATTCTAATATTTATAGTTTATTTTCACAATTTCCTATCAATGCCTTCAAACATTTCTTTTCACCTAATAACTGGCTTTCTCATTGCTCTCTCACATACTTTTTATTATTCTGATAATACAAAATACGTGACAGCTACAAGTGTTATATTTGGATAATGCTTCAGCCCTCAGGAGGTTGGGGGTAGTGCTGAGAAGAATGGGAGAATTCTGTTTTCAGGATGGGAAGATGAATGGTGCAGTCATATTGGCATGGTCAGGTGAGATAATTTCACTACACAAGATAGTGCCTGCTACAGCTTTATTTGTGACATGGCATGTGAGAGTTCTCATATGAGAACTGAAGGTCCATCTGGACTACATTCTGCTCTCCAATAAGCAGATGTTGCAATAATTCCAGTTTGGGTCATTGAAACACTGACATGGGAAGCCTGTGAACATTTTTGGGCAAGGAGGTTGATAGGAAGATGTGCTGCAGAGTTTCTTATGTGAAGAGGTCTCCTTTATTGTCTAGCCAAGAGTTAGTGGTTTAGTTTGCATTGTAATACAAATCAACGTAATTTGCATTTTCTAGACTAATACCACAATGCAGTTGTCCTTCCGTTTTTTGTCCTTCTCTGAATTTTGTGGTGTGCTTTCCCAGGGGGGAAAATGTGGACAAAAAGATAAATTCTGCTTATCCAGAATATAAGACACAATCTAGCTAGATCATCGAATGGGAGCACCTGATTCTAGAGCTAGACATCAGGGATTGGATTCCCCACTGTGCTTCCAGAAGAGTCAGCCGATGAACTCCTGGGCAAGCTGCACAGTCCCAGAGCACCCCAAGAAGTAGGAAATAGTAAAGCCCTTTTAAGTATGTTATACCTAGAAAACCCTGGAAGGTCAGAACTGACTTGATAGCAAATAAGATTTAGATTTATTTCTAAGGCATGACTTTAACACACCATGTAGTCATTACTGTTGTAGACAGAGAATGCTCTCTGTGCTCACAGGTGAATATGGATATTATAAAGCAGTGACAGAACACCTTGGATTTCAGAGGTACAGATTGTCAAGGGCCTGGTTGAATGCTGGTTGATGTAGGAGTCAAAAGCACTTACAGTTTGCTATGCAGGAGGTCACCTCCTCCATGCAGAGTGCTGACTAATTAAAGTCAGCTGGAGAGGATGAGTCAGAGTCGAAACATTTAGGAATCGAGAAGAGATGCCCTCCTAAATGACGCTGAGTGCCAAATGGGCATGGGACAGTGAACCCAGTTAAGTCCAGACTTGCAAATTCTCCCACACAAGGCAACATGCCAAACATCATCCCGATCTTCCTCTTCTAGTGATTCATCCATGTCCATCTCCTAAAGTGTGTTTTCTCCCACCCACCCTGCTCAGGTTTTCTATCTGACTTGTCTGCTGAATAAATCAGTTCCCATTATGACCATGATCTGTTGGCTGGCATGCAAACTCAGTTTTTAAAATTCTCAGTCTAAGAACCATTTTAGAAGCATCACTCACAATTATATGCACTTATATAAGGCCTAACCTTGACATCTTGACTTGCTTTGGAGTGGGAGGGCAGTTTCAGCCCCTCATTGATTTTACTGATCTGTCTGTGCCGATGATGAAAACTATATGCTTTTTGTAAGTTGTAGCCCACCAGAGGATTAGGTACAAGAAACAAGCCTGCTTTACTAACCTGAAAAAACTTTTCTGATTGATGTGGCAGTGACTTGCATTACTTTATGTGATCTTGACAACAGACTTGTGATGTATCTTTTAAGGCATATTTTCCAGTGCTGACACTTTATTATGATGTCTTGGTTGTGTGTGGGTGTAGGACTAAATCCATTTTAAAAGTCACAACTATGTACTGTAGTTCCTCCAGAAGAATAAAAAAATAAACCATTTCTGAGTATTTGACACTTAGGAATCCCTGAAAATGCTCACCATATGTCAGAGTCAACTTAATGGCACATAATTATGATCATTATTATTAGAGTAGACCACTGAATGATAGGGAATTGTGAAGTCAACAAGTATGTAAGTCCCATTGATTTGGCGGATCTAACATGATTGGGATTGACTTTTGGTTTTAGCCAATATATGTATGGGAATGAGAGTGTGTACATTTTAAGTCACCATTATTTCATTATCTTCTTAGAGAGAAGAAAGTAGACAGGGGAAGAAACCTATTAGCACTCCATTCTACAATTGCTTCATTGATCTGTGATTTGAGGTTACATAAACTGGAGATTACTTTGTTGGAAACAATAGGATTATGTTGGCAAGTGGGTAGTGAGTGCCCAGGCTGTAGGAAGCATGGAAAAACAAATTAGATTTGGGCCTCAGTTTCACTTTATTTCATACATTTCCATTTATTCAAATAAAAGCATATGCCTTGTTTATAATTTGCAAACTGAGCCTTTTCCTCCCTTAATTTTTCAGAATGTCGGGTAGTGAAATCCACTTCTTATACGAAAATAGCTTCAACTTCACGTAGGAGCACCACCAAGAGCCCAGGGCCATCTAGACGCAGCAAATCTCCCGCATCCACCAGCTCAGGTAAAACTGTTTATATAAACTTAAATTAATACACTATAGGAGGGAAACTTTCAGACATCTGGTTTGCATTATAGCTCCAGACCTCAGAAACCACTTTGCTGCTTTATTTGTGGCTGGTATTAAGTAAGGTTATCTTACTGTATCCAAACTGGGAAGCTCTGATTTCATATTACTTAAGTCTGAGTTTCCCAGTAAGAAGGAACTCAAACTTAATACAAGTGAGAAACTGATGGATGACATGAGAAGTGATCATTAACTCTCTTATTACTGGTTTCATCAGTCTTTGTCAATGAAGCTTTGAATTATCACCTGAATGGACCAGTGTTTGTTTTGTTAACAAAATATAGCAGAGCAATATTTTTTCTGTGTATCTGTGTGTGAACCAGTTACAGCTTTGCAAAACTCCTACTAATTACTTAATTGAAATTGCATAGATGTCTTGTATTGCAGCAGAACTGCTTACAAGGAAAAGTGAGACAGAAAAGGAAGGAAAGTGAGGCAAAATATTTCTTTGGATATAGGAAGGAAGATGTCTGCTCTTAGGGAAGACAGTGCAATGTTAAGCTGGTGACAGAGAAAAAAGGTGGAAGTATATACTGTAGGTCACATTTTGTCTGTATCTCAGCCCACAGAGGCAGTTGTGAGACAATACAGCGTGAACCAAGTAAAACAAAGTATTGGAAGAAAGTATTGCAGCCCAGAAGAGCTAAGGAAGTGGATAGAAAACAGAAGGATGTTTCAAATTACTTCAGTTATTTGGAAGAACATTCCCCAGCCTTGTTCCCTCAATATGCTTTGAATTGCAAGTCCCATAAGCCTTAAGCAGTATGGCTAATCGTCAGGCATTATAGCAATTCTGCTGCAAAACATATAGAGGATGTCATGTCAAGAAAGGTTGCTGTAAGATGTCATGATTTACATTGTTGGGTGCTAAAAGAATCTGTGGGTGTTATTTCAGAGCCACTGGCTGAGATCTTTGAGAAACCTTGAAAAAGGCGAAATGCTTGAAGGCAGGAGACAAGCAAATGTTCTCTCTGTCAAACTGAGGCAGATGAGTCTCGGAAACAACAAACTAGGCATATGTGCTCATGTTCTAGGAACATCTTATTAAAGTAATTGATCTACAAAAGATCTACTAAGAACTATCATGAGTTTATCACAAATAGATATGACATACCAACTCCCTTCCTTCATTCCTTCCTTCTAGTTGCTAGGCTAGTAGATCAAAGGAAATACATGGATATTGGCACAGTAATATTGTGTAATGGACAAAATTGCAGTTGCAAACATATCCCATGAGGAAGAGTGGAAGACTTCTAAAGAAGCCAGGTTTCACACATTTTGAAACTGGAAGGAAGGGCAAATCACTGGAAGACTTCTAAAGAAGCCAGGTTTCACGCATTTTGAAACTGGAAGGAGGGGCAAATCACCAAGGAAGAGTAAAAATGAGAAGCAAACATTTTTGAGAAGAAGGTCAGGAGGGCTCAGGAGCCTTGTGGTACAGTGGTTAAATTGCAGTACTCCAGTCAAAACTTTGCTCACAACCTGAGTTCAATCCCAACAGGCTGAAGCGGCTGGCTCAAGATTGGCTCAGCCTTACTTCCTTTTCAGTTCAGTAAACTGAATACCCAGCCCACGGGGGTGGGGGGCAATGTATAGCTTCCATAATCAAATTGTAAATTGCCCAGAGAGTGATTTAAGCACTATGGGGTGCTATGTAAGTGCGTAGCACACTTTTCTTCAGGCGAGTAAAGAAATGCTGTACTTCTGTAGAAATGAAGTATACTAACTGGTGACACAGAGAAGGAAGAAATGCTTAATGCTTCATCTTCTGAGAGAAAATCAATGTTCTGTTTGGTGAAGATAAAATCCGTGGTCCAGTGAGGGGACTTCAGCACAAGATAGATATGAAGGTACGATGGAAACTTCAGACAGAAATGTCTGTCTCGAAATACAGACAGTGCTGATTTCCCTTCACCCCTTATATTTATATACTTTTTTGTATACAAACTCATAACCAACTAAGCTACAAATGTAGGTATACCGCCTTCAGCCTTTCAAATAAGATCTTTGTTTCTTTCCGGCTCCTAACAGGAGTCTTTATCCAGGCCTGCATAAAGAGAGGGAACAGCATATAATATGGAAAAAGTGTAGTTAGATACAGAATGCAGAAATAAGTTTCAAGAAGCTGCTGTTCTTTGGGAAGTTTATTGTTTAGGTTGATCAAATGGTTAACAAATCACAAAATGTTCCACATTTTCATTGTATATTTGAATATTTATTCAGATGAAGTGTAGCCTGGAATATTGTCCAGGGATGCTTGATGCACCACTAGTATCTGTCCTAGAGATGTCATGCTTAATTTTGAACATTGCTAATCTTAGACATTTTTGTACCTGGAGCAAAGTTTCACAGTGGTTGCTCTTGCTTGCTTCCTTCCTGATTCTGGACTAAGATAATTTTAATGATATATAAGAATAGTGAATTGGGCAGGATGTATACAGTGCTCAGAAGAGCTTTTTTGTACAGTAGCTCCATGAAAATATCTGTTGTTGTTGTTGATGATGATGATTGTATTTTGTGCAAAAATAATTGCTGTGCATTTATTCACTACACATTATAGCGTCTAACCATTCATTTATGAAATGGTTGCAGTAGTTTCTGTATTCTTAATGTGAGCTGATGAATAAGTTTACATATGGTGAAGTATATAGGTTTTTAACATGAAGGAAATTTGTTGTTGTTTAGTCGTTAAGTTGTGTCCAACTCTTCGTGACCCCATGGACCAGAGCACACCTGTCTTCCACTGCCTCCCAGAGTTGGGTCAAATCCATGTTTGTAGCTTCAATGACATTGTCCAACCATCTCGTCCTCTGTCATCCCCTTCTCATCACCAAGAGAAGAATTGCTGATCTGTAAAATGAAAACAGCAATTTAACAGAATTAAATCAATTGGCCAAACTAATTGCCTTTGGACAAAAGTGATGAGAAACCTAGACAACATCTTAAAAAGCAGAGACATCACCTTGCCAACAAAGCCCGAATAGTCAAAGCTATGGTTTTCCCTGTAGTGATGTACAGAAGTGAGAGCTGGACCATAAAGAAAGCTGACCGCCGAAGAATTAATGCTTTTGAATTGTGGTGTTGGAGGAGGCTGTTGAGAGTCCCCTGGACTGCAAGGAGAACAAACCTATCCATTCTAAAGGAAGTCAACCCTGAGTGCTCACTGGAAGGACAGATCCTGAAGCTGAGGCTCCAGTACTTTGGCCATCTCATGAGAAGAGAAGACTCCCTGGAAAAGACCCTGATGTTGGGAAAGTGTGAGGGCAAGAGAAGAAGGGAACAACAGAGGATTAGATGGTTGGAGAGTGTCATCTAAGCTACCAGCATCAATTTGACCCAACTCCGCGAGGCAGTGGAAGACAGGAGGGCCTGGCATGCTCTGGTCCATGGGGTCATGAAGAGTCGGAAACGACTAAATGACTAAACAACAACAACAACAAATGATTTGGCTTATTCTGTCTAATAAGAAATGACTAAACAACAACAACAACAAATGACTTATTCTGTCTAATAAACCCCCTGGTATTGCGCTGGGACTAGAGAGGGAAAATCAGCACCTCTTAGAACTGAACAGCCACAACAGCTGCAAATTCTGTGACCTGCGAGCTACATGGAGCAACTGAAAGTCTGTGTGTTACCGTAATTCTGTGACCTGCGAGCTACATGGAGCAGCTGAAAGTCTGCGTGTTACCCCAACAAACCACCAACAATTTTTTTTAAAAAATGGCAAGTTGTGCCTCTGTAATCCACCAGATGGTCAATCTTCCTATAAAACAACATGCACACACACACGTGTTTTATCTTTTTAAAAAATGGCTGTTTCAGAAACACAGAAATTATCTTCAGGACACTTCCAGTTTCACAGGGAAAGATAGATACTTCTGGCAGGGGATTGATGAAGAATGTACAAAAGGGTTAGGTGCCACCTCAAAATCCAGCTACTTGCCCCTAAACTACAGTGCATGGGAAGGGTATAGAATAGGATGTTAGCTCTATCTCTTCCCTTGACCCTTGCCCAGCCTGGCTAATTAAAGCTGCCAGGTCGGTGATAACTAAATGGGCCACTGAAATAATAAATGGGTCTCTTCTGGAGGCTAAGAAAATGCTCATTAGTCCCATTAGAAAGAAACCAAGCTTGGCAGCAGACAACATTGGCAATTATAGGCCTATTGCCAATGTTTCTGTTCTCAGCAAGGTAGTTGAGAGGGTGATAGCTGACGAGCTTCAGGCTCTCTTGGATGAAACCGATTCCCTAGATGCGTTTCAGTCAGGCTTCAGGCTGCGCTATGGCACAGAAACGGCATTGGTCGCCCTGCTGGATGAACTGCTTAGGGAGGCCGACAGGGGCAAAACGTCTTTGCTCATCCTCCTTGATATCTCAGCCGCCTTTGATACAGTTGACCACGGTATCCTCCTGGGGAGGCTCTCCGAGTTGAGGATTGGTGGCCTTGCTCTCGCTTGGCTCCGGTCCTTCTTGGAAGGCTGTCCACAGAGAGTGCAGCTTGGGGAGAATGTACTGGCGCCCTTGTCCCTCAGTTGTGGGGTCCTGCAGGGTTCGGTCATCTCCCCAATGCTGTTTAACATCTATATGAGGCCGTTTGGGGGGGTGTCATCTGGGGGAGCTTCATGTAACCAGTATACTGATGACACCCAGCTCTACTTTTTTTCATATGAGGTGGATGCCATTCCATCCCTTGGGCGCTGCCTGCAGGCCATTCTGCAATGGATGTAATTGAATGGACTAAGGTTGAACCCCAACAAGATGGAGGTCCTGCAGGTGGGGAGCCCCAATGTCAGTGGTTTGGGGAACTCCCTCTCTTTTCGGGGGTGACTCTCAGGTCAGTGTTTTGGGGAACTCCCTCTCTTTTTGAGGGTGACTCTCAGCACAAAGAATTCGGTTCGCAGTCTGGGGGTCCATCTTGACCTGCCGCTTACCA